ACAAGTGAGAAAATTTTCAGTGGATTCTATCAACTCAACCTAAATCACTTGCTGGTATAAAGATAAATTGGAAAAACTAATGCTTAGTGAATACATTACTCTATACTTCTTTTACTTAGTGAAACATTTAATTAGTATTTACTAGAAAATTACTATCAATTACTAAAAATGACTACAAATTGCTAGCAAAATGGATAAATTTTCTCTCTACCACTAAAATAAATTCAATTACTAACTTTAAGTAATTGCGGGTAATTTATTTCTTGGAGGGCAGGGAGCTACAGACAAATGGAAGGCAGTGATTAAGATGCTCAGAGAGGCTGATTTATGAGGGAAACTTAAATAGCTAAATCTGGGTGGCTGAACGAAGCCAGGGAAATGCGCACCACAAGACATTCACAACCAGCTACCAGTGTGAGTGAGCATCCTGGAGGCTTGGCCCAGGCTAGGGAAGACAGTAGGACCTGTGGAAGAGAGTGCTTATGCCATTCCCGGCTTATGACATCCAAGACACTAATATGGAACTTGGAAGTGGTAGACACATCAGCCTTAGGCATGATGAAGGGAGAGAATGACCTGCAGGAAGATTCCTGAAACTCTTCTGAGGAGGGAAAGGGGGGATTCCCAAGCTGTTTCTCTTCTCTCAGGTTTAAGATAGCAGAAGCAGTCTCTGCCTGCAGACTTGACATGAGAGCAACAGGGGGCCGTCTGGCTGTCCTTGGATGGATTGTGTGTCCTCACAGAGTCAGCACTAGTGTGTCATTGCTGTCCAGGTATTTACAGATAGTACAGGCCTCAGGGGTGTGGTGGCAAACCAGAAGGTCTTACCCTTAAACTAAGACCCCTTGATTATACACCATGCCTCCACACTTTCGCCCTGGCATGCACACTGGTTCCATACCTTTGCCCTGCGGAAATGATGTGTCTTTACCTAGAGATTTCTTATCTGACATGGAAATGTACTGTCAAAAGTCATACGAGGCCTGGGATATAGCTTAGTAGGTAGAGTGCTTAACTAGCACTCATGAGGTCCTGAGTTCCATCCCTCCCACTGCTTACAGCTGGAATGGCAGTGCCTGTCTGTAATCCTAGGAGGTGGAGGCAGAAAATCAGAAGTTCAAAGTCATTCACAGCTACATAGCAATTTTGAGGCCAGCTTGGGATACCTGAGACACTATCTCAAAACCAAGGCACATGATGGCCATTGAAGGACACTTACTACTAGTACTGAAAATGACAATTTGGATTCTCACAGGATATGCCATGGAGGACATAATGGCAATTTGGGGTCAAGATTTGGGAGTTAGGTCCAAATCCCATTTCTCTTTTCTCCAGGACTGAGACAACCCATCTGTCTCACTTGCAAAAATAAAAATTAAAAAGCCTATTTCAGATCAACCAGGGCCTATCCCCACAGTGAGAGAATTGTCAATAAAGAGAAATAAGGAGCCGGGCAGTGGTGGCACATGCCTGTAATCCCAGTGTTTGGGAGGCACAGGTGGGCAGATCTCTCTGAGTTCGAGGTCTAAGGAGATAGATCCAGGACAGCTAGGGCAGTTACACAGAGAAGCCCTGTCTCAAAATAAAACAAAAATCAAGAAGGAAGGAACGAAGGAAGGAAGGAAGGAAGGAAGGAAGGAAGGAAGAAAGAAAGAAAGAAAGAAAGAAAGAAAGAAAGAAAGAAAGAAAGAAAGGAAGGAAGGAAGGAAGGAAGGAAGGAAGGAAGGAAGGAAGGAAGAATGAATGAATGAATGAATCAGTAGGGAGACCCAAGCTATTAGGAAGCCTTGAATGAATGTGGCTCCATCCAGACTGAACAGGTTTTTTTCAGTTCTACCCACATCACTCTAGAGAAGGCAAAGTGTGGGGGGGGGCAGAAAACTTTCAGAGCCTGCCAAGGCAGGGGAAGGTGGAGTTCGACTGTGTACCACAGATTCTTAAAGCAGTGAAATAAGTCACTATGTCTAATCTGAAAACACAGGCATAAGAAGATGCACAGTAGTCCAGACATGTAGGATGCGCATCAAGACTGAGGTCTCACATCAGGCACACTGGTTAGTGTGTGTATTAAGAACAGCACAGGGACTGTGATGCGTGCACAACGCCCCCCACACCCACCAAGGCCAGATGCTCTTTGCAGGAAGAACCCAGTAAAGGGAAGAAAACCTACATAGGATCCGCTGTCCTTTCTACTTCGTTTAAAATATTATTTTAAAGATAATATCAAAAGAAGCCAATAGCTACATAGCAGAGCTGCTGTAAGGCTGGGTGAGCAGAACCCTCCCTTAGAAACAGCTGGCACAACAAGAGGTTGGCTGGATATGGACTGAGAATCAAGTTCAGGTTATACATCCTCGTGGTGGTCCCTGGTACAAAGACCTGTGTTTAAGTGCTAACAGAATGGACTGCGATATGGGGCACACATCCTGGAACCCTGCATGTAGGCATCATACAATCATCAGGGACAATGACTGCAGAGTGGGTCTGGAAAGTCAGAGGAGGGGACAGTAAGTAGAAGGACCTCGGGCCTCCACACTGCTTACTTCTCCAAGCACAGATTGCTTTTTTTTTTCAGGAAAACTGTGCCCCGAGACACTTCAGATGGTGAGCATCTCCTCCAAAGGCATTTTACTTTCTATTCACACCAGCGTGGCCATTCAATCATAATGTCACCACATCCCAACGGGGGAACACTGCCGTCAGGTCCTAGACATGTGTGAAGAGCCTCAGTGCTTTAAAACCACAGTCGGAGACATCTCTGTCCCCTTCATGGTTTTGGATGTGCAGGAGGCACAGTAATTTATTCCTGGGAGCCACATTTACCATCCTGGACTGCATAGTCCAGCACAGGGACAACACCTACTTGTCGAAGGTAGCAAAGAATGGTGCTCTTTTTCTCCATTGTGGAGGTAGGGCCATCCTGAGACCACAGGTAACAAATGCATAGGTCAGAGGAGATGCTACGCTGGGGGTGTCTCAGAGGTGGCTTTGCACGGGCCTGAACATCACTGAGAGATACAGGATGGGACTTTTGTTCATTTGTCTTAGATTCATGCCCGGGGAGGAGACAGTGGAACACATTCTTTCACGGAATGAAAGAGCAGCCCTGTCTATGGAGCCTGAGAGACTCATACAAACCCAGTGGCCGTCTGCTCACTGGTGCTTTGGGTAGATTCGAGTCCCCACGGTGGGTTGAGTTTCCGTAGCTCACATGAAGACATCCTCAGGTTTTGTTCCACGTCACACGGCATCAATTTAACATTGGTGCTTCTGAAAGATGCTACCACTATCTGCAAAATCAACCTAGACTCGTCACATGTAACTTGCAAAGACATTTAAATTGGCTCTGAGGACAGCCTTAAAACAGGTTGACAGGCGACACCCTCTACCAAGGGTTCAGTTTTGACTTAACATGGCAATTGTATTCTGCCTCAAAAAGGCAACCCAAACTCAGGTTTCAGACTAACGATATTGGCTCTACAGTTTTCTCTAGAACAAGGGCAAAGGAAACAACCGCCATGCTAAATCAATGAAGCAGAGACAGCCTCTACAGGCTTGGCAGGGCTTTGGTGCAGATTAAGCCCTATGCACAGGTGCTCTGGGCAGAGGGGACAACAACTCCAGCAGCTGCACCCCCACTGTCTGTGAGTAATGGGCTCAGTTTCTCAACCTGTGTGGAGCTCACAGCAACTTTGGATCTGGGGCAAGTCTGCCACCTGTTCTGCAGGTGTTTCCACCCCTAGAATTTGCCATCGTGATGACGTAAATGGCCCTACTAGGCCACACAGGTTGTAGGCCAGCATGGAGTGTGCCTAACACATCTGAGTCCTCTCCACATGAGTGTATTAGGAAATCCTCTACCAACAAAAAAAAATAATCTGTGTCTCAGGAGGAATAGACATTGGGAACACTCAGAGTGGACAGGGCCCCAGTATCCTCATTCAGGTGCCACACCCTCATTTTCATTAGGACAGCTGGGATCCTTCAGGACTGCCACCTCTTGTCTTCTCTTCACCTATTCAGGGTCAAGGAATTGGCTTTCTTTTCCAACTCTTCCTAGCCCAGAGTAGATGGGAAAAAAGGGACTGAGAGGAGAGACAGAGAGGGCGGGTAGAGGGAGAACACTGTTATATCTGACTCTCAACTGAAGTATGGATCATTTTATTATAGTAATATCCCAGAACCTTATTTTAATATGTCAATATTTAGGACATAGTGACACTTAAAAATTTCTCATTGAATTGAAGCTGAGTTTAACTATCTTGTTTGATTCTGTTCTGACTCTGGTAACCCTACACCATGCATCTCTTCCTGCAGTCAGCTCCTTTTTCTGGTTTCCATACTGTCACCTGATCTGTCTTCTTAAACATTCTTGGGGGTGGAGAGATGGCCCAGCAGTTAAGAGGACTGAATATTTTAAAAAGGTCCTAGGTTTATTCCCAACACCCACATGGTGGCTCACAACTACCTGCAACTCCAGTCCCAGGGAATCTGATTCCCTCTTCTAGCCTCCATGAGTACTTGCCTGCATGCACACACACACACACACTTATACAGGAACCAACTAGGTTGAGCCATGACATTGATTATTAATGAATTTTCTATGAATACTTCCTATTGATACATCCCTAGTAGAGTGGGGCCACCATGCTCCTCTGGTCAAAGTGTCTCAGCCACTCCCTTTGACAGCACCACAGTGGCCTCAAGCTGATAGCTTTCTCCCACAGTTGATGCCATTCCATCTGCTAGACACTGGTCAGACATGTGGTGTTAGTCCAACCAAATGGGCCAAACACTAGCATGCATTTGCTGTGTGCTGTGTGCTGTGCCTTATACTCAGGATTGTTAAGAATAATGAACTACAGTTCCAGATCCAAGCTGGTAGAGCTCGCCCACATCCGCAAGCCCTCCCTGGAACCTCTTTGGAGAGATGTATTTGGAAATTCAAAATTTTCAGGTTTTTGTAAAAGCAATGTTATGCATATTTCTCATGCTATGTAACTTATACTGATATGACACTATATGTAATAGATAATGAGGCTACTATTTCACAAATATCCACTGGGCTCCAGGGCAGCATCAGGCAAAAGTATGGGACACAAGTAAAATAATGAGGGCTTGGGACATAAGGTCTCGGGAGCCCTCAAGGCTTTGACACCTCACCTACCCCATCCCACACCCAGCACCAAGTAGACATCTTCTCCAGTGCTGTGTGAATCCAAGTAAAGATGGACTCAGGTCATCAAGAGTCTTGTGGCTATGCTGGTCAGTCTTGGAGTCATGTTGAAGAAGGACAATATCTTCTCCACCTCTGGTAACATGATCACGTAGGTTTTGCAAAGTGGGACAGGAATATATTGTGGTGGTGTGGACCCAGGAAAGGGTGCACACTTTTCTCAGGCCCAGCTAGCTGTTGCTGTCACTTTCCCACCTAGAGATAAAGGGCAGGCAGACCCCCAGTCATTTCACTTGGAAGGGTGACCAGAGGCTATTGACAAAGGCATTTTAGAAGTAAATTTTTGTTGTTGTTGTTCCAGGGTCCATACTTTGGAATTGGTATGGAACTGGCTGGCATTCCAAGATTCCAGGAGTGATATGGAAAGAGGGTGGTAAAAGCTTCCCAGAAGCCCATGACATACCTTCTCAGGACCCCAATGAGAGTCATCCAAGAACAGCTAAGCAGTGCTGCTCACTGACCTGTGTCTGAGAGAGGAGGGCCTACCTGTCCACCACCCAAGGCCATGTTAACTGTTTTTTGCCCCCAGATAATGAGTTTATCCACTGACAACCTTTAGGGGAGGAAGCTACAGTAGCAGCCAAGAATGCAGAACTGGGGATGCTCTCTGAGTGGGCGGGTTTTAGAGAGTTGTGGGTATTATCTGCACCATGTAGGAACAAGCCAGAGGTTCCGACCGAACACATTGTATCAAAACAAACAAACAAAAAAAACTTGAAAGGGTGTTGTGGCAGTCCCCACTCACCTTATCGAGCATACCAGGGCAGGGACTCAGTCCACCAGGCATCTTCTTGAGGTGACATAGACTATTAATGGGAGAACAAGAGGAAAATTTCATTGAATACACCACAGCCTTTCTTGTAAACCTCTCACCACTGGAGTTTGTCTCAACAGCCTGCTGGAGGAAGAGAAGGACACAATTGCTTTGGTATGACAATATATCTGAGAGTCAGGCTTGTGAACACATTCCCAACACACTGAAGGCAGACTGTTAAAACAGGAGTTGCTGTGACTGAGCTGGCTCTCTCTCCAGGTACAGAGAGACCTTGTCTCAAAACACAAGGGGGAAAACAACTGAAGAAGATACCTCATGGCGATTTCTGGGCAGACACCTGCAGGAACGTGTGTACAAACACACGCGCAAGAGTGATTACTTGAATCCAATGTCAAATTTATATATTCTTACATTATTGAAGCAAGTCTGAAAATTGGTTGCACTCATGCCACCACAGCATTTAATACAGGAAGGCCATTGGTCCCACATACTTGAAATTTAATGCTAATAAGCTGATAATCCACTATAAAAATGTAGGTTCTGACCTGTGCTACAAGCCATTCCAGTACTCAGAAGCTGGGCCTGCTGCTGCCCTATCAGACAGTGTAAACACTGAATGTTTCTGTGTTAGCAGAATGCTGTGCCCATCAGCCCTGATGTCAGTTCAAAGGCTCCCGCGTTAATCCTGGACAGCAGCCTACTGCCTGCGTCCTGACAGAGCTAGATGTGGCCAGACTCCAATGTGGCTGTGGTTCACACTGGCAAAGTCTCCAGAGGTCTCATGGCTTAAGCTGACCATCAACCTTAGGATGCCTACTGACCAGCGATGTGGAGGCGAATCTGGAGGCCCAGCTGGTGTGGGGTCCTTTTTAAATGGCCATGACAAAATATCTGCCAGACGAAAAGGAAGAGAAGTTGTTTTGATGCATTTGTTTGAGGGAATATAATTCTATTGTGGCGGGAACATGAGGTGGCTGGTCATATGACATGTATAGTGAGGAAGCAGAGAGATAAATCCTGACACCCAATTGGCTTTCTCCTTTTTTACTTTTTTATTTTTTTATTTTTATTCAGGCTAGGATTCCCTGGGATGGAGTCATTCATGTTCAAGGTCAGAGTAAATCATCCCACCTCAGTTAAACTTCTCCACAAATAGCCTCACAGACAAAGTCAAAGGTGTGTCCCCAGTGTGATTTTAGATCCCATCCTGTTGAAAATATGGAGTAACCATCACTGCTGGTGGGATTGGGAGTTAAATTTTGCCATCACTAGCTGGTGAACATGAAGACTCCCTAAAGCACCAGTAGTCTCCTGCCATGGAGTCTGAGGACATGCCCCAGCCCTCCCCCTGCTGCCATCCTGCAGTGTGTATGCTGTGTGCCCCAGCCCTCCCCCTGCTGCCATCCTGCAGTGTGTATGCTGTGTGCCCCAGCCCTCCCCCTGCTGCCATCCTGCAGTGTGTATGCTGTGTGCCCCAGCCCTCCCCCTGCTGCCATCCTGCAGTGTGTATGCTGCGTGCCCCAGTCCTCCCCCTGCTGCCATCCTGCAGTGTGTATGCTGCGTGCCCCAGCCCTCCCCCTGCTGCCATCCTGCAGTGTGTATGCTGCGTGCCCCAGCCCTCCCCCTGCTGCCATCCTGCAGTGTGTATGCTGCGTGCCCCAGCCCTCCCCCTGCTGCCATCCTGCAGTGTGTATGCTGCGTGCCCTCTTCTGCAACGCACGTGCTCCCTGACTGCTCCAGTTCACACTTTCTTTGCCCTTCTAGTCTCCCTGAACTACAGACTTCTCTGTTTAACGAGCATTTTCAGCACTACCCAGACCAGCGGCTCTCAAAACTCTGCAGCTTCATGGTATTGCTTCATAGTCTTCAAAATCTTCCAGAACTGCAGAGAGCATTCTTCCAAGTGGTTATGCCTACTAATATTTACTGATAATTTAAAGATTGCTTCCACATTAGTTCCTTCTAAATATGTAATCACAATCAACATGTTAATGTGGCAAATATCCCAGAGAGATAGGCAGGCCCTTATGTCAGCTTTGACACTTAATTTCCTGTGACATCACACTGTATGGACTATAGGAAATTCCACCATAGACTCATAACAGAGAGAGGAGTAAGGGGAGAAAGAAGTCTTAGTTGTTTTTTTTAATAGCTTTGACCTGATATGAAGAAAAAAGACTAGATCTCATAGACCCTTAAAAGGGACATGGGAACAACGAGGATGCCCAGAGAAGACTTTCAAAACCTCTGTACCATGTGTCTTTCTATATTCTAACTGCAAAACAATAGCAATGTAAAGCAAGGCAAAGTGTTTGCTCTCTCTAGTTCATGGTGTGAGCAGACTGTAAGAACAACCTATCACTTGCAATAGCAGATACTGTGCAGAGTGTGTAGGGGGGAAAGTCTAGGTCAGAAAAGACTTCATGGTTACACAATGCCATGCAAATGCCCTCAGGCACCAGGGTTGCTGCCAGCTACTGGAACCTGGGGATCTTGGACCTCTTGGTGCTTTTCTGCAACATTCAAATTGCAAGACTGAAATGCAGGAGCCAAAGAGATGTCTCAGTAGGTAAAGACATTTGCCACCAAGTCAAGATGATCTGAGTTCAGTCTCTGGGACCCACATGGTGGAAAGAAAGAATGGGCTGACCCAAATGGTCCTCTGATCTTCACTAATGTGCCATAGCCTGTGTGTAATCATCTACATATATGTGTGTGTGTGTGTGTGTGTGTGTATACACACACATAAGGAGGAAGGATGGGAGAAAAGGAAAGATGGAAAGAGGTTGGAAGGGAGGAGAGAAGGAAGGAAAAGGAGGGAGGGAGGGAAGAAGTAAAGGGAGATTTTTAAATTGAAATTCAGACATTCACCAATAATACCAGCATTGAGGAGGTGGAGGCAGAAGAATCAAGAGTTTCAGGCCATTCACAGATCTATAGAGAGTTCAAAGACAGACAAGGCTACATGAGACACTTCTCGAGACACTGGCTACAACGTTGACATATGAAGCTTCAGTTTTTGTGAAGACGCTGTCATTATGACTGTCATGGTAGCTTCATATGTGTGTCTGTTGCAAGGAGGGCTGACCAGGGCGACACTGAAGCAGGCCTGTGTCGCTGACATTGCTCAAGGTGGCTCTGAAGGATGAGCCTTTGAACACAGTGACAAATGAGACAATGGCATCTTTGCTCTTTGGGAAGTGACTATACAGCAGGGTTAAAGTGCATCCTGAGACTCTTTGTTAGTATCAGTTGTTTCTGGACCCAACATGTTGTGCCCCAGCTCCGGGGACACACATCACAGCTCAATCCCAGCTCCAGTCTCTTTCCCTGTGAGCCTTTCCTGCCTCCCTTGTCCTGAATCCATCTTTACCCACTGAGGCCAAGAGGACAGAGCAGGGTGAAGCAATAGAGAATCGGGGTGTGGCAGCTAGGGCAAGGGGCAGGGTTTCGCTGGACCCTCAAGAGGAGCAGAGTTCAGGGCAGATGAAGGCATTTGCAGAGAGGCTGCAGAGGTGTTCTGCTGAGACACTCAGTGCAAGGCAAAGGAAGAAGATAAGACACCACACCAGCTAAAAAGTGAAAGGCTAAGGAGAGGGATGCTTCCAGTCCTTTCCATGTGATCCACCCTGGAGAGCAGATGGCCCTTGACCTTTCTCCAGCTCTTCAGTTCAGCCCCCACAGATGCCAACACATGGAGTCATTTGCTGATAATGGTCAGGTGAACACAGCATTTCGGTCTTGTTATTTTACAGTTAACAGACTGTCCTAATAGAAAGGCTATAAGATCTAGATAAGAAAAAAATGCTAGCAAGTAACTATAATTGACATTTTTTATATGACAGTCTGCATATTGAAACTTAATATGCGTTGATACAAACTAGTACAGGCTTTAGATAAGTGAGTCATATGCTGCATAATATTTGGTAACTTGTCTTTTACACTGCATGTGTATGTTTTATGTTAATATATGCACATGAGTATATACTATATCATATAGTAATAATGTATATTATACTCATACACATTAATATACACATGTTTAATTTGAGTGCATAAATTCCATGGGGCATATATCATACTTTAATAAACCTGTTATCTATTTTTTTCTCATTTTATGGGGAATGTAGGTGTGTGTAAACATATGCCAAGGCAAGCCTTTGGAGGCCAGGGGACAACTTTGGTTGCCTGTCTTGGCTTTACCCTCCACTTTGTTTGTGATAAGGTCTATTTGATGTTTGTTGCTTATAATTCAGGCTAGCTCTCCCGGAACTTCTCCTGTCTCTACCTCCCATATCGCTGTAGGGGTACTGCCATTACAGATACGGTTCACATCTGTCTTCCCGTGGGTTCTGGGGAAACCAAACTCAGGTCCTCACACTTGTGCAGCAAGTGGTTTATACTCTGAGCCATCTCTGTGGTCCCCAACCCTCTGATCCTGAATGTGACTCTTTACAGTGCATTCTATAGTGCAAGCATTAGTCTGACTGGGTTTTAGTTTGAATTGCTGAGTCAAGAGGTATCACAGTTACTGCCGTTTCTTACACACTTATCCAGCTTCCTAAAGTTAAGGTCTTATTCAAATCCTTTGAGTTTATCTCAAATCCAGGAGATCCTGCAGAAGAGCAGACACAAGACTCCCAGGCTGCCTGGAGAGAGCTCCCTTGTGCTCTCCCCTCCACACAGGACAGGAAGCTATATGAAGCATCTTCAGTCTTTTTCTTACATTTTAAATTGTGTGTTTGCATGTATGAATGTTTGCAAGCACGTATGTATGTGCACCATGCATATGCAATGTGCCTGGAAACCAGAAGAGGGCACTGGATTCCTGGAACTATAGTGACAGACCATATGAGCTGCCATGTAGGTTCTGGAAACTAAACTCCAGTCTTTTGCAAGAGCAGCAGCTCCTAATCTCTGAGCCATCTTTCTAGTCCAATATGTACCGTTTTAGTAAACAGCACATTTCCCTTTAAAATTAACTTTATTAGCATAGAATAGACAATTTTGTCTTTTCGTAGACAAAAAGTCAGTCCATTAAATCATAGTTTTTGTTTGTGTGGGTTATTTATAAATGTCAACACCTTGTAATTTCTAAGTGAGGACTGGTATGTTCTAGTTCTATAAGAGGAAAAGGAAATATTAAATCTTTTTTGTTATGTTTTAAGGCATGTGGAACCATATTGTCAGGGCAGTTGAAAGCTGAAAGTCTTGCTTCATCTGTGTCCTGGTATTTCTGCATCTGTTTGAGTAATCCTTTAACAAATATATATTTTCATAGTTTTGTCAATTTGACACAAAGCTACACATACCTAGGAAGAGGGGATGTCAACTGAGGAACAGTCTCTGTCAGATTGGCCTAAGGGCATGCTATGGGACATTTTCTTGGTTGCTGATTGGCATAGGAGGGTGGGCCCTCCTCCTATACCAATTGTTGACAATGTCATCACTGGGTAGGTGAACCTGAGATATATAAGAAAGCAGTCTGAGCTATCTGTGGAAAGCAAGACAATAAGCAGTGTTCCTCCATGGTCTCTGCTTCAGTTCCTGTCCCCAGGTTCCTGCCTTGAGCCCCTGCCCTGATTTCCTTCGATGAAGGACTGTAACCTGAGAGCTGAAATAAACTTTTCCTCCCCCAGGTTGTGATGTTTATCTCAGCATCAGAAGAGCAAACTATGACATTTACTGGGTGCCGTTATTACAAGCAGGGCCAGGAAAATGCACGAACGGTCCTGATTGCACAGGAGTGTGATGCAAAGGTACAAGAGCAGGGATGACATGGAACCCCTATAGCGAGGTCAGAACTGTGAGGAGAGCAGAACAGTGATGTGATAGCCGACACCACGAAACCAAGGAGACCTCAGATCCGAGTGAAAAACAGACAAGCACCGTCATCTCAGGGCCCCACATATCAGAAAGAGGTTGGCAGAGCCGCGAGCTACATCCCCATGTGTACATCGTATTGGCAGGGAGTTGAAGATCAATCAAATCTGGTGGTCAATGCTATGTTCAGAGATCTAGAATTTTCGGTCCCTGCTGGTCCGAGTAGCCGCTATGTTGGAGGCTGTCCTGTCCCATCCACAGAAGTGCTGAGGCTTTACCCTCTCCTGCTATCAACCCATATCGGGTGACACAAACTCTCACAGGAGAGTAAACACACTCAGGTGGGCTCAGGTGGATTGGTTTCAGCGTTGTCTGCACTGGTGGAAAGTCGTAGCTCCTCTAGATCCCGTACAGCGGAACAGTCCCATAGCTGTGAGCTTTGTGAGAGCAGTGTGCTGCAAAGAGAGTAGAGGAAATGGCAGGCAAGCAAAAGCACTTAGGAATGCAGATGGATAGCTGTGTGAGCCTCATCGGCGTTTGGGGGTGTTGGAAGGGACGTGTTGAGCTGTTCGGGGCAATCTCCCCAGAGAGTGGCTGCAGGGTCTGAGGCATCTCACCCTTGACTTCATATAGCCCAGTGCCTCACAGCGAACACATGACTCCTTAAAATTAAAATGATCTCTTGAATAAAAGAAGGCTGGGAAGCTCCTGTGTCAAGCGCATCTAGCTATTGCTGCGGGGGGAGGCAGTAACAATGGGGAACCTGAGAAATTTAGTCACCTGAGATAGACCCCAGATTCGGTTCCCAGGGCTCTGTCTTATGGTGACATTCAGTGGCCATAGTTGGAAGTGTTCTTTGGGCACAAAATAGACACATGGCTTCTCAGTAGACCAGGATTAGAAATCTTAGGATGGGGGATTAGCCAGACTTCTCCAGGCCTTCTGGTAGGAACACACAGCTTATTCTAAACTGCTTTCCTTTCTAGGGAAGACCTCTAGGGCCTAAAAAGTTAAATATTTTTCCCAAGGTCATCTCACCAAGATTTGAATACATGCCACCCACTGCTCCCTTCTAGATGTTTCTATATGTAACAATGCAGGAATGACTTTCCTTGTTGCTATAACAACGTACCTGATGAGAAGCAGCTTAAAGAAGGAAGGGTTACTGTGACTGTGGTACCCACACCAGTGCATATGCCTGACTGGGCTGCAGTGAAAGGCTGTACTTTATTCACAAGTCCTGGGGTCTGTCGCATGGACAGAGCCACCCACAGGGGTCACAATTAGAGCAATTGTGATCTCTCTATACCTACATGCCAGAAGAATCTGAACTCATTACCTTCACCAGGCTTTATAAACAATTCGTAACATTTGTTTGCTGCAGTTCTGGGGTCAAACCCACAGCATTGCACATACCTGGGCAAGTGTTCTACCACTGAGTAAAAACCCAACCCAACATGGGATAAAGACTTGCCAACATTTCAGGGCTGGCTAAGAAGATAATAAAGGCAGACTCTGGGCTGGGGAGATGGCTCAGCCTTTAAAGGCTATGCTCACAACCAAAAAAATAAAGGCAGACCTCTAAAAGAAAGAAGTATGAATACATTCACACCAAGAGGAAAAGCTATCCTATCTCTATCAGAGTTCCTTATATATAAATCATAAGTGTACACACTATGCAATATATAACCTTCATATTTTCACAAGAGTTTTTAAAGTATCCATTACATGTTGGAGCAACAAATAGAAGAAATCTTCAATGTCAAGCTTTCTTATATGTCCTAATCATCCATTCACATATATAACATGCATATGATTTTAAACTTTATTTTCTTTCCTGTTAACAAAGGTTACTGTCTATGTAAGTGCTTAGCTAATGAACTCTTTTTTCTGTTGTTGATCTCAATTTTTAGAAATAAACTCTGTAAAGATCAAACAAAGTTAAAACTGAGGGCTGGTTAAACACATTATGCAAAACTTGGGTACCCATGAAGCAGACGGAAATCACAGACAGCTCAAACAAAGGTAGCAACTCTTCCTCCCAGATACTCCTATGTGCAACAGTGCAGCAGTGCACTCCTCATTGCTGCGACACAGCACCTGGCAAGACCACACTGTAAAGAAGGAAGGCCTTATTGTGTCTCACAGTTTGAAGAGGCAGTCCATCAGGGCATGGGGCACGCGTTTGAGGCGTCTGGCTCTGTTCATCCAGTCAGGAAACAAAAACAGATGAATGTGGCCCCCTTTCTCCTTTTCAGTTGGTCCCTAGCCCCAGCCCCTGGGATGATGATGCCCATATTGAGTCTTTCTTCCTCAGTGAAACCTCTCTGGAAACACACTTAGACACGTTCAGAGGTGTGTTCCAAGGTAATTCCAAGTCTAGTCAGTCAGTATGTGACAGAGGCTGGCCATCACAAACAAATGCACATGCTCCATGCATGTAGGTGCCCGTGCTGTTGTCTTCAAGCCGCACACAGATCACTGAATCCTGAGCAGGAGATACAGTTGTCACAACGATTCCAGGAGGATGGGGCTTTCGCCTTCAACTCCTCAAATACTTAATCAGTCACCACACAGTGCTGTCCTCAACCCACATGGAGTCACATATCTTGCAGGTCACAGGACACACCTATGCCCGACGGGACACCTCCACTGCCTAGGCAAAGTATAGCACTCTCACCAACTACTTCCTAACACCAGTATCCAATTGTCCTCTTGTCCCTCAGTTAACCAAAGACAATGCACCTAGGTCAGCAAGAAAAACACATCTGAACTTAATGCTTCAGACAAGCTGCAAGTGAAATCTCCCAAGCCACAGTAGAACTCTTCCGGTTCAGAGCTTTCTGGTGGGTTGAGGAACCGGCAAGACACAGGGAATAGCAATGCCCTCTCCTGCTACTATGCCTGATATGCTCCCCATCATTAGAGACTAGGCATGTGAGCCCTCACAGAACACACAGCTGGTGTTTGAATCTGCAGTCCACACTCCCTACAAATAGCCTGCCTTCCATCATTCCAGCCTGATTGTTGTAAAGGCCTGCAAGCATTTGGGGAAATAGCCTCGACACCTACATGATGTTTGTTTCATACTTGATCAGTTTTATTACTCCATACATGGTGTTTCCCCACACTTTAAATCCCTTTATATGAACAGCAAAGATCGTAGTTATGACTACATGGAGGTCGCCACTGCTCTGTATAAAGGTCAAGTTCTCCTTCCAGGCAGTGCATGTAAACATTACGCAAGCAAGCTCCTCTCCACTGCTCCTGGAATCAGTCCTGCTCCTTCAAGGGCAGAGCTGAGCTGAGCTGACATCATTCCTCCCCTACCCCCTTGCTTGGCAGGTAGAATCAGGAAGCCTTCAGGCCAAATCACAGCAAATTTACCAATATCAGCACCAGACCACCTCCAACATCACAAAGCTAAGAGGGCAACCTGACAATAACTGCTTAAAGATGTTGTTATCCTTGGAGGAGATCACAGGCTTGCAAAGTGGATAAGCATTTTGTCCTCTGACCAGGCTTTAGTTAAACCTAAAAATCACGTGACAAGAAAGTCCTTCTGAGACCAGAATCTCTCTCTCTCTCTTTCTCTCTCTCTCTCTCTCTCTTTGTGTGTGTGTGTGTGTGTGTGTGTGTCTGTCTGCCTGTCTGTCTGTATCTGTCTCTGTCTCTCTCTCTCAAAAGCATTTTGGTGTCTGATTTAATGATGTCTCACTAACAATCTCAAGTCTTCAAATGACTGATTCTTTTTTAAAATTTAAAAACTAGATAAAATATGTCCTTGTTATTGAAATTGAGTCCCCCACTCTGTGTGCAAAATTTATTCTCAAATTGTGTCTGTTTGTACAGGCAAAAATAATCAGGAAAAGCCAGTGGCTACAAAAACTGCCAACAAAGTGAACCTCTAAAGAGCTAATGACTCAGGGTGGTTGTGTAGACATATAAAGTATGTTGGGGGCCTACACTATTTGTCATTAACATGAATTCTGAAAGCTTGGCTAATATAATGTGACACAAAATTAGTCAAACACAATTCATGCAATATTGTTTAATTTTACTCCTCATTTAACTTGGTTTTAAGCAAAATCATTATGTCACATGATAACGTTCACTCGAACAAGAGATATTTCATAATGGTCACCGACTTTAGAAATGAGTTATTAGGCGCTCCACGTTGAACACATTCTTAACTATGGAAACTATAAAGCTAATAGCTTAATCATATTTTGACACCATCTGCATACTTTATGCATTATTTACAAGAAAGATATAAAAACGAAGCCACTGAGTACCCTACACGATACTTCACCGTCATAGTTAACTGGTTAAAAATATAACACATTTATCTTCCAGGGACTTTATATTTGCATAGAGGTATTTGCATGCCATGTAGCAATGTGCCGTTAATGTAAAATTTAACCTTTGTTCTTTCCCTCGGATATGTAAGATATACTCATTAAGTTAAAAATAATGGCAAAAAAATAACTCTTCTGGCAATATACATTTCATAAATTATTCCCCAGAGCAGTAAGGAAAGGTAAAATGTGGGTGGGAAAATGTTTAATTGAATTAATTTCTCATTTTCTCTATTTTTATTTTACAACTCAGAGACAGAGCAATTTGACTAGTATATGTCAGCCCTGTGACTCGCAAAGGCCCTCCTCTCAATTATTCAAGGCATCCGAGCTCTTAATCCTGCATTAAAACAGTTCACACTTCAGGAATGAGATGAATGGGTGGCATCATCTGCACACCTGTTCGATGGATGGCCCAGTACCCTCAAAGGGGGTGCACAGCCACAGCTTAAAGCATATTGCATCATCATTAGACATTTGAGAAAACAAAAAGCAAATGATTCTTAGCTTGTCTTGGATTGTAATTTGCAATATCAAGTCTCTAATTAGTCCCCTGCACAAACTTCCACAGAAATGATACAAAACTTTCAAACTCTCGTGTGAGACTATGGTTGTCAAGTCCATGTAGTGCACTCAATTTCTTTCCAGAATGGCCAGATTTCGTGTAATTACCCCCTCTCAAAGTAACTCTAGTCCATGACTGTGCATGTACCAAAATTCACATTGCCCACTGAAGGTGAGCCAGTGTGTCCTCTGTAGCAACCCACAGCCAGTGGATGTATGCAGACGACAATCAGAGTTGCACAGCCAGGTTACACCGGCCTCAGCATCTGGTGAAAGGCCAAGAGACTATGGTAGAAAGCAGGGAGTCGGGAATACAAAAAAAGGCTCTTAGAAAAGAAATAAAGTTCAGCTCACAGGAGCTCTCAGAAACTCATGCTGTGAGCCAGGGTCACTCACACTGCATGCCTATGCAGGTACCTGGAGCTTGCAACTTCAAAGGTGGACACATGGAGAAATCTGGTCCCTGCAAGAGGTTAGATAGGCCTGGACAAGAGGATCTAAAGAGGATCTAGGCCTTGGCTCCTGACCGCCTGGGGGCAGATTATGGCTCATTTCTGTTCTTAGATGCTGTGATGATGATTGCGGGGCTCTTCTACATTTCCAGGAATCTGACAACCTTAGTTTGCTTTGACTTCATTTTTCCAGGGAGGCATATCATTGACACTCACATAGTGACCAGCTCACAACATGCACCCTGAGCCAGCCTAGGTTCCTACCTCTTTAGGGAAAAGACAGCTCAGTCCTCTACTGAAACCTTTTGGATACAATCAAAATTCTGTTATCCACGCCAGTAAGATGGCTCAAGGGGTAAGAGCACTTGTCACCAAGCCTAACAGTCTATTTACAGCCCCCATCCTATAAGAACCAACTCCTGAGAGTTGTCTGTGGCACGTGTGTACAGACACACACACACACACACAAAGAATGTAAATGTATGACTTGGGGACACTAACAACTGTCTTGGCGGCTGCAGTGAGGCTCCTTGCCGTCTGTGTCTGCAGCTCTTAGTATCTACAAGCAGCCTTCCCAGATGGCGAGCACCTTCCACTAGCTCCCACTCTCCCAGCAACTTCCCTTTTTTCTTAAATGAGCATGCTATTTATAAGTAGACATGAGATATATGTAAGCTATGGGAACATATTTATTTACTGTGTATCCAGTCTTCTGAAATACTGTTTTCCCTCCTTTTGGCAACATGGAACAGATCAACACATTGAGATTTCAGATGTTTTCTGAAAGAAAGAAGAATGACCCCCAAACACAAAATGTTCTTTCAACAAACAGCAACGCT